TAGTGGTGGGCACACATAGGTCAAATAAATAAATAAATATACAAAATATATGTATAAGTTATATGTATCTCAAATGGTAGGAGTCTTATTTATTAACCTTGTGGTCTAGAGTTCAAGTCACACCCTCCTCTCTCTCTATTTTTTTTTATTTTTTGTAATAAACCTTGCCTCTAAATTAAAATTTTCACCATAAATTTATTTTAGGTTTAAAAATTAATTAAAAGATCCTCCAATAATATTTAATTTGTACCTTAGATTCACCACTAAAATATTTGAGATTGTAATATTATTATTTAATTATTTACTTAATTTTTATATTCGGGTTCTCACATTCTCCCCTCCTAAAAAAAAGTTTCGTCCTCGAAACTAACCTGAGTAAATTATGAGAATAGATGTGGGTACTTTTTGCTCATCTCATCCTCGCATTCCCAAGTCGCCTCTCAACTAGATAATTACGCCACAATACCTTAATTAATTTAATGGTCTTTGTACGCAACCTTTTCTCTTCCGAATACAAAATCTGAACAGGCATCTCCTCATCGAAAAATCCTCTCTAACCTGAAGCGGCTCATAATCTATCACATGTGACGGACTGTGCACATATTTCCTCAGCATAGACACGTGAAACACATTATGCACTCCTGCCAACCTAGGGGGTAAAACAACACGGTACACAACCTCACTAACCTTTTTTAATACCTCAAATGGTCCAATGTATCTAGAACTCAACTTTCCTTCCTTTCCAAACCTGATGACTCCTTTCCATGGTGATACTTTCAAGAATACCATATCCCCCACATGAAACTCTAAATCTCTCCTACCATGATCAGCATAACTTTTTTTGTCTACTCTGAGCAGTCAATAATCTCTCTCTGATGGTGATAATTTTTTTGTGTAGCATCCTCCACCAAATCAGGTCCCAACATTTGTCTTTCACCAACCTCATACCAACACAAAGGAGACCTACACTTCCTCCCATTCAAAGCCTCATAAGGAGCTACTTCCAAACTAGAATGATAACTATTATTATAGGCAAATCATAGACGGCAAATAATCATCCCAATTACCTCTCCACTCCAAAGCACGAGCCCTCAAATATCCTCAAGGGTTTGAATAGTCCTCTCTGATTGCCCATCTATCTGAGGGTGATAAGCTGAACTAAAATTTAACTGAGTGCCCATAGCTGACTACAACGCACCCCAAAACTTAGACACAAAATGAGGGTCCCGATCTGACACTATTGACACAGGTGTACCATGCAATCTAACAATCTCCTTCACATACAACTGTGCAATTCGAGCTAGAGAATAGTTCATTTGAACTGCAATAAAATGTGCTGACTTGGTTAATCTATCAACAACAACCCAAACTGCATCGTGATTACTACTAGTACGAGGTGAACCACACACAAAGTCCATGGTAATATGATCCCACTTCCACTCTGGTATAGGTAAGGGTTGTAGTTTCCCCGCAAGTTTCTGATGTTCTACTTTAACTTTTTTTTTTTTTTGGGTGAGTAAGTCATAAAATAAAGACAATGAAATTTACAAGTTACAAGGGCATACCCCAGGCATACCCAACAACAATAAATAAACGAATACATAACCAACATAACCTACCACTGCACCCTAAGATTGAGGGGAAACACAAGATCAACAGAAAAAACAAAATAACCCAACTTTGCCCATATATCCTTTTGTCCCCAAGTAACCCTACTTTAACTTGTTGACACACCAAACACTGAGCCACAAATTCTGCAATATCTCCCTTCATACCATTCCACCAAAGATGTTCATGAAGATCCCGATACATCTTAGTGCTTTCCAGGATGAATGCTGTAACTAGAACTATGTGCCTCCGTCATAATCTCCTTTCTCAAATCACCACTAGCAGGAACACAAATTCGGCTACGGAATCTAAGCAACCCATCATCACTAACCACAAAGTCTACGTGCTTACCTTCTGCCATCTCTCATTTAATATGCTCACACTGGGGATCAATCTCCTGTGCTAAACGAATCTATTCTCTCAAGGTCAGCTGAACTGTCAATTGACTACAATAAGCCCTATCACCAGGCATAACAACCTCAAGCCTCAAACGTCTCATGTCTTCCACAAAACAACTCTTAATGCACAAAGCAGTTGTATCTCCAATTGTGACCTTCTTACTCAAGGCATCCGCCACCACATTTCCTTCCCTGGATGATACAAAATATTCACATCATAATCTTTTAACAACTCAAGCCATCTTTTTTTTTTTTTGCCTCAAATTTAGTTCCTTCCGTGTGAAAATATACTTCAAACTCTTATGATCAATGTAAATCTCACATGACTCTCCATAAATAATGTCGCCAAATCTTAAGAGCAAAAATCACT